TTGTATGAATCTGTATGGTAAAACAATAGAGAACCATCAAACGACAAATAACAACACATTTAGGATATCATGTTTTTATTGTCAACTTTTACTTAAGTCGGACTTTAGCCATGTGCACAGCACATACACTGTTACATCTGAAGACCTGTATAAAACTACAGGACAGCTCATAAAAGTAGTATGTACAAAAATATCATAAGACCACAGGACTCAGAATCAGTAATAGTACAGTATTATATCATCACTTGGCCTGAACGCAGGCCTTCAGGCATCCAGTTTGAAAAGGCATACAGTATATAAACAATTTACAGTTTTCTCAACATAAGAACAGTTTAAAGAAAGAAATTAAGTCATTTTCAGAACGAGTGATTCAGTAATGCACACGTGATGCTTGACCACTGGAGTGATCACTTTTGTAAAAAAAACGCCATTTTTGGGTTTAGTACTTTAACATTTTACAATAAATTCAAATGTTTCTCTGTTGAATCAGCATTTTTGAGTCCACGCAGACGATTCTAGTTTAAAAAATGTTTTTGTTACTTCTCATTGTCTCTCTTTATAGGGTTGATAAAGGGCACTACAGAGTCTTGCTACCAGGAGTCTTGCTACCTGGAAACCATGTTGTTTGTAATTTGGTGAACCGATCCTTAACCCTAACCTTAGCCGTCAAGAGTTTATATGTCATCAGTAGTAACGACCATTTGCATCATTGGCAGAAAGTGTGCTACAGCACTCGCAGGCTGCTTACTTGCTCTGCTTTTGCTTGCACAGCAGCTGGATAACCAAATGAGCAGGTGGAATAGTGTGTTGGTCCTGGGTCAGTGGAGGGCAGAGAGGTATTCTACTGTAAACATCATGCACGTCATGCAAAGCAGTGGGACTAAGACTGGGGAAAAGTGAGCCCAGCTGAGCCCTGGCACCCCCCCCCCCTCTCTAAATATATATATATATATGTAGAAATACATGTAAATATATATTATATATATTTTTACTGCAGGTATGAGTACAGACATGACTGGTGTCAAGCTGGGATGCTGGAAAGGAGACCTAAACAAGCATGTTGTAACAGGAGATGTTTTTGGAGCAGCAGACAGCTACTTTGGCATTCATTTTGACAGCTTAACATGCATCTCACGGTGAGCTTGCAGAGCTCGGATCAGTCTTGATATCCACGCTGGTTAGTAGGAATCAAGCCCTAAAGCCACTGAAGCAACAGTTTGCATGTTATTTGCTTGAGCTATTTGCAATTGAATGGCGAGCGTGCGCAAGCAGAGTGGCCAATACGTAATTTGTCCGACTGAAGGCACTCTGACTCAACAGAGAAACACTACAATCCCAAATACAGGCCGACACAGGCCATTTTAAGTGGAATGTCGGTGATCTCAAACCTCTACCTAAAAGGCCTTATGAGAAAACCATCAGGAAAAATGAAACAGAAACAGAACAGGTGGCGACCTCCTATCCTTAACGTTGACCGTTGTTGATGAGTCATGACTTATTTACTGAATAAAAAGCCCATTTGGCCCTCAGACAACCACTTCCACCCAGCTCTGTTAATCTAAAACTGTCTCTGCCTCCCAAAAGGAATACCAGCACCTTCAGTTACTGAGAGGTTATATTTACAAAACATATAAAGAAAAATATAGGGTTACCTAGCATATAGTACAGTCCAACAGCTGTCTGTAAATATTTCTCCTATGATTATCTTTTCTAAAAGTATATCACAGGGTAAAGATAGCCGGAACGTGACAAGGCGCAACTAGGACAACATGGCCACCAGAAGTGAGCTGCAGCGAGCCGCAGGAGCTCAGGGAGACAGAGACAAATGCAAGAAAGTGGGAGTGGGACGCTAAACTGAGCCAGGTCAAGGCAGCAACTGCAACAGGAAACTCAACCAAAACCTGAGCAGAGTGGTTTAAAAAAACTGACAATTCAGAAAAGGGAAGTTGAAACATATTGTACCAGAACTGGACCAACTTTTGTATGTTGAGCAGAATCTGTCTGACTGTATTTTTACATAATGTCTGCAAAAACAAAACAAAAAGAAGCAACCAGCACAGGACACTAATGCATAACCTGAAAACACAAACAAAAAGAGTGCCTGGATATGTGCATTTTTACAGAAAATGTTGGACATTTATGGCGGGTTTTTTTTTCCCTGCCCTGATTACCACACTGGAATCAGGTAACTGGGTAATAACCGTGCGCCTGGCATTCTCTACAATTTCAAAAATGATACCTTCCAGTACTTCGCTTCAGCGCCACTGCATAATACATCTAATTCTAATTCACCCAAAAAGTGTGTGTTGCAATCATTAAAAAACTCCTGTTGCAGACTGAAGAAGACCGGATTTATATTGTACATTTATGCTTTTGTTGAGTGTTAATAAACTTCAGTCTTGTGGTCTTCTTCCATTGCATATGATACAGTATGATTCGACTCAGCATAGCTCTTTAAATGCTTTGATTGGGATTAAATCCACTATTATCATTATTATTATAGTTATTTTTGTTATTATTATTGTTATTATTATTATTATTATTATAATTATTATTATTATTAATACAATATCTGTTCGTCAGCTGGTCTTTGTTATCAATATGACTGCAAAGCTGTCGCTACACGGGAAAGACACGCTATTCTACTATTTGTGTTTTTATCAAGTAACAATCACTTAGCAAACTTTTTTTTTATTATTCCAAAAGAAATCATATACATGTGTGTTTTTTACCGGTCAGCTGAGAAACAAAGATGAATCAGAAAAACCATAATCGAAGCGACATCCCTGTAAACAAGTTAAGTTTCACTGAATTATGCTGTATGCTATCGGCTGGACACACCAATTCTTTGGTTACAATTCATTTTTTTTGTTTGACTAATCAGGGATTAGCAGTTTTGCCTTGTCTTCTTACAATATCAGCTAGGCTCACTTGTAAGCTAAAATAGGATATATAGAATATTTTCCATCTGTTTAGTTGTATTACCTGTAATGAAAAACAAAAAGAAGAAAAACATGCATGCGGTGCTGAGTTGAATCATACCATATCATGTAATGGTACAACAATCGTAAGGTTGACTTCAGAGAAAAATAGAAAAATGAATTTGTTATGGGAAAATTGACAGTGGAAGCATTGTATTCTCGTCTGTTTTTTTGCTACAAAAGACTCACATGTGAGCAAAGGTGAGTTTGGATGTACTTTTATCACCGACCATGCAAATATTCCAATTCCATGGATATATCTGAGTGCTTTGTTCAAATACCATATGTGTTATATGGAAGTAAAGATCACCAGACGAGGCCCGTAACATTAGAGAAAACTCGTAAAGTTTGGTCCAAACTTCGAATCGGCAACGCCTTCATCTGCTTGAACTGGTGGAGTCACTTCCATCTTCTTGTTTAACAGCTGCCTGACAATAAGAGACTACTTGAAAATAGGAATAGTCTTATTCCACAGTCAAGGCTATTGCTTGTCTGCCGCATTTCGGCTCTTTGACCTTGCCTGTAAACTCCCAAATTCCTCACTTATATAATGTCAGAGAGGATTCCTCTCTCTAATGCGGGACGTATAGATCTGACTGAGATTGACAGCAGTAAAGTTCAGAGTTCACCCCCCTGGCAGAGCTATAAACAGACACGGCAGAGGCTGTGGGGTTTCTTTGACTCTCCCCTCCTCCTCCCATGCCCATCCCTCTCTTTCTCCCTGACTCTCTCTCTCAAGAGTAAGATGATACTGTTTCAATTAGGCTTCAGTGCCACACATAACCCCTTCTCAACCTACTTGAACCAGGTGTGTCGTAAGGGTTTTGCTAGTTCCACACTAGAGCTAGTTGGCTATGCCTGAGATCAACCGGTGATGTCATTCCATTACTGTAAACGCCTGTCACTCAATACTTGCATGGCATATGAACCGTTTGCATGTCATACACACTGTTTGTCTAGTTTTGTCATGCCTCTCTATTTTGACAGTATGGGTAGTATGCATTTGGAAAAGGCAGCCTGTCTTTGTTAGCCGTTCTCCCGCTGCTGGGTGATATTTGTTAGCACAACATTTCAGTATGAATGCAGCTCAGGGCAGAACTCAAACAACGGTTGGCAAAACTGAAACCGAAGGAAAAACTGCTAACTGACTTTGTTATCTCCATTAAGGCTCAGTTTTTTCCCAGATGCAACTCTTACTATGTCTTTTAAAAAACAAACAAAACTTTCAGTCCAGTTGGTCATCAGAATCCAACCCTCAAACTTTGAGTTGTATGGCTCCGTGAGGTACAGGTGTTTTTCTAATGCCTGGTTTCTGTTTCAGGATCAGATTAATGCAAAGCCTGCACCAAGGGCCTACCCAAGGCACAAGCTCACTGCCACCACTTTGAACATGGGTGGCTGCAATGCTCTGCATTTTAGACACCTACAGCCCTCATTGGTAGTATTGCTGAAATCAGTGGCCATTGTAAAACAGTTGCTAGTTGTAATCCTAGTTCAGTGAGTCATGAGGGGAAAAGACCAAAAAGAAAAGAAAAAAACTGCAAGCAGATGATTGTTATTGTGTTAGCATTAGCATGGAGAGTAATACCGACTTCACCAAAGCCAGTTCCAAATTAGCTCTAGTGGACCAATCACACACGGTATGCGTTGAGCTGACACCGAAGCATAAATATGAATCCAACTTATCAAAACGAGAGAATGAATCCAGGCTTTGTGGCGACCTCTGTGCCACAGCATAGCACAAGAGCTACAGGGTAGAGAAGTAAGTTGCCTTTTTTGTCAGAATAGAGGGGCCCCTTATATAATTTTTTTATGCTAAGAATCAACAAGATCTGTTCTTATTGTGATCTACTCGAATCAGAAAGAAAAAAAAAAACATCACCAGTGCTAATTTTCCTGTTTGTGCAAAGAAAAACAACATCGAAAGACATTATTTCACTCAGTAGCAGCAAATGTCTGATAAATTAGAAAAAAAATATAAATAACTGTTTAGCATTACAACCCCTCCCCCAGCCGAACCCCCTTTTAGCCCACCCACAGAGAAAAAGACATCTGCTCCTATAAAAATACAAAACAGCTGTTAAACATAAATTAAAAGAAAAAACATGACCATGTACATAGCAAAAGATCAAATATGACACACTTGCATTTAACTTGGTGTGAAAGTGCATCATGTTTTGGAGACCCCTCCCCATCCGCCCACCTTCAGCTGAAGTCTATTTATGAAGCCACTAGATTCTTGGCAAGAAGTGTGTCACTGTCGTGGCAGGTGACACTCGATTTCCTCTTTTTGTTTTCCCGTTCTTACTCAGACCGATGAACATCCTCGGGAAGGCCACTGACTCGTAGGCGTTGTAGTTGTTGGCGAGGAGCTTCTCTTTAAACTTGCACTCGTTGCTGTAGTGTAACTGAAAAAATAGAGAAGAGATTAGTTACAAGAGGAATGACAGAAAGGAACGAGTGAATGAAAGGAAAAGAGAAAGAAAAAGGACAGATCAGATGAAAGAAAAACAGAAAGGAAAGGAAGGATGAGAAGAAAAGAAAGAAAAAAGAAAGAAAGAAAGAAAGAAATACAGAAAGACAGACAGAAATAAATGAGAAGAGGCAGAAAGGAGGGGAAAATTAGAAAAAGAATGAAAACAGGAATGAATGAAAGAAAAACAGAAAGAAAAAGGACAGATCGGGAGAAATCGATAAATAATTAAACAGATAATGAAAGAAAGAAAGAAAGAAAGAAAGAAAGAAAGGAGAAGTGACAGAAAGGAAGGAAAGAAAAAGGACAGATCAGATGAAAGAAAAACAGAAAGAAAAAGAAGGATGAGAAGAAAGAAAGAAAGAAAGAAAGAAAGAAAGAAAGAAAGAAAGAAAGAAAAGAGAAGTGACAGCAAGGAAGGAAGAAGAGGAAAGGGAAATTAGAATGAATGAAAGAAAAACAGAAAAAAAAGGACAGATCAGAAGAAAGAAAGAAAGAAAGAAAAAAAGAAAGAAAGAAAGAAAGAAAGAAAGAAAGAAACAAAGAAAGAAAGAAAGAAAGAAAGACAGACAGACGGAAAGAAAGGAAGGAAGGAAGAATTGGGAATATTGATTGTCCAGAAGCCAGAAATAAAAAAACGATTCGGGGGCATTTCTGTGGGGGATTTTCAGGTCTGTATTGTCCGTCGTGATTTCTATCAAACAATTGCATTATTTGTGACGGCAGGGTTGGTCTTGTACAGTTACTGTTCAGCCCTATTTAGCACAAAAAGAGACTGGGAACTGATGAATGATGTGACTGAGGCAGCAATCTGCACATCAGGCTCTGGTTGCACTTTGTTCCTGGTCAGTGGAAACACTGATTGGGAGCTTTCATGTGACTGAATTTGGGTGCTGCCAGGCTGCTCCTGGCTTTTAAATATTGCAGGACATGACAGATTGCGCTTGGCATTCATTAATTTTGAATGGCTTTGTCCTCTTCATTGGCCTTAATTCAGCATTTAGGGTATCAATTCAGTGATAATTTATTTTATAATATGCCATCATTGCACAAATTCGTAGTTTCTCCTCAAAAATGTTGTCGACTTAATTCTTAATATCTTTAATACTAACATCCCAAACTAAAAAAACAATGCATATTTTGTATGATGGCACAATTTGGATAGCTTTGGATGTGTGCTGCCTTTGGTTAGATGCTATTACTCCATCATGAGATAATGAATGGATCTAAATGAAGTGGAGACTTAGACATTGTGCGAATAACTCCTCAAAAAAAAATTCCCAATCAAATATTTCTGCTTCAATATCTTAACACTTTCACAACATTTCAACACATCTTATTTGGGAAACTACATATAGAAGAGTCAGAAGAACCTTCTCTTTCAAATTATAATAGAAAATTTGGCCACAATGAAAAAAAAAAAGTTTCATCCACTTCTCAGACTTTTGACAAAAGTGTTGGACTTTGTATTCAGATGCCAAAGATGGACAGTTAATTTCTGTGTCCTGTACACTCACAGATCCATAGAGCTTTCCACGCCGGTTCATGGCCACAAAGAGACCACTGCGGACCCCAAGCAGAGTCACCACCCCTCTCTCCACTGGAGATATCTGCAGGAGACCTGAGGAGAAAACAAAGCACAGACAATGAAAAGGCACCACAGTGCAGCGGAATGCTAATGAGCTTACATTTGGGTTTACATACTTAACATTTAAAGCAAAGTATTTCAACTGTCATTTTTATCTGTACATATAAACTAATGGAGTTCAAGGATTTTTGAGGAGGTGATCCAAACTCCAGGTCAAGGGCTTTCTTTTAGACCAGCCTTTTTAGTTAACTGGCATACATTTTTAAGCACAAGTTGTCACAGAAAGACTTTTTAAATCATTCCAAAAGAAGGCTTGAGGTAGGGGAGCACGGCTCATAGAGACAGAAGGGAAGGCTGAAGCCTTTGCTGATGCTGTGTCCTCACTGGGCTTTGACAGGCAGCAGCCTCAGTGCGTTCTTTGTTCCCGTGATCCCTTTAAAAAATGCAACACATCGGCTGGAAGTTCTCACCATGCAAGTTTCACAATGCATTCCTGAGTTTTTTTTAATACCTCGTCTAAAGAAATATGAAGCAGAAAGTGTCTAGAACACATTAATGAACGGGTAACCAGTCAGTTCAGTCCCTGCCTGACCATTGTCAGTCACTTTAGATCCACATCTTATCAGCACGGAACGGAAAGAATTTGTCTGCCCCGCAAACAAATACCGCAAAAAACAAAAAACAATGAGTCATTTTTTGGCGTCTGTAAACGCAGGACAGGACAACGTGGGACTTGTCTGGGGGTTCACCTGTTCTAACAGACGGGGCCAATGCGCGGTGTCCTAACTTTAGGTGCTGGCCGGCTGGCGGCTGGCCCGGATCACAGCGAGCTCCGGTTACGCGCTACGTGGAAAGCACCAGCCCCAATTTGCGCGAGGGGAGAACTGAAGGGAGAACTCCAGATGTTGTTGATACCGAAACGCGGAGCAAAATTTTCTGCGCGGGGCTCGCCAAGGTGTGGACAACGTCTCCATCGGGATGTTGACGCAGCAGAGGTTTTGGATCAGAAGGACGCAGATGGAGATGCGTTTAAAAGCTGCGGGTTTAAGCAGTAGAATATCCGAAAAATTCTAAAGCAAATTAGTTGTTATTAATTTTCTCTTACAGATGGTCTTTTTTCTCATAACTTTATAATTCTTTTAACTTAAGTTGAGTCATTTTGTGAAACCAATTCTACAATAGACGAATTTGTCTTGATTTATGATCGTAATGTGATTTCAAATCAATCTTGTAATTACTGTAAGAAGTTGAGATCCATGTCACTTTCAGGAAAGATTTAATAAAGTGATGAAATTTGAAAAAAAAAAAAAATTCAGTGACAAAAAACACTTACTATAACGATTTTCGCTGTGTACTCCCGTTATTCTACCATCCGGTAAGACTTGTATGTGAAAGCCGATCCCCACGTTGCAGTAAAGGCGCCGCAGCCTCTTAATGCCCAGGAGGTAGTCGCCGTCCCGGTTGCTCTCATCCCGCTTCTCGCCCGGGATCCGCGCCAGGGAGCGGGAGTAGAGAGCCTCCCACCGGTCCCCCGTCCCGTTCAAGCCGGGGGCGCATCCCGCCAAGCCGGTGACCAGGCCCAAGACCAGCACGGTCTTCAGGGCCGACAAAGAGTCCATCCCAGGTCTGGCTCTGAAAGCGGCCTCTCGGCGTTTGCCCTTCCAGTGAGATGAGAAGAAAAAGAACAAGCGGCGGCGCGACAGAGAGGAGCTTGTAAAAGTTGCGCTCATTCCCAGACCGACAGGCGCACTGGCTTCAGCGCCGGAGCGACATTGATCTGCACGGACGCTGAGCAGCCATGCCTCTATATTTATACCTGCAGACACATTACATCACAGCACCACACTTATAAGAAATCCACAAACCGCACGCTCAAGAGTCAAGTGGACCAAACAGAGCATGGAGCTTCATTGTAATCAAATAATGGCCTTCTTATCACGGAGAAAAAGTTACGAGTTTGAAGAAAATAAACGAATAAAGGCTTTTATTATAATGGGGGAAAAGTCTTTGTGTGAGGCTTTCGTTATCGGCAGCAGAATATCATAATTTATGTATGGGAGGATGTAAAATAGGAAACAGCCAAGTTAACAGACCATGTTGTCCAGACAGGAGACAGATCTATATATGAACAATAACAGGAAAAAACAGAGGTCCAATTCAACTAAATGAAAAAAGAAAAAAAAGAACGCTCACTTAAGACCGGTTGAGGGGAAATCATGTCCTAGGCCCTTACAGAAAACAATGGTAAGACTAAATAGACTTTGCAGCATGTTAAGTACTGTCATTGGTGGCCAACAGCTCAATTTGCTCTGTCTGTGAAGCTTATTAAAATAATTTCAAGAATATGAATTGATAAATACATACACACATACTCTCAGACACAAAGAAAGAAATGAAAGAATGTGATAAACACAAGTCAACAAGAGGAAAAACACATCTTGGGAGTTATGCCGAAATTCCTTTTCGGTTTTATGGTCATCTTCTGGTGACTTGGTATGATGTCTTTGATGAGCTATGCTTGAAATTCTTTAGGCTGCACTGATGCATACTTTGATGTTCCATTGAGACAAACTAAGCAAAATAGCCAGCCCCAGCCTTATTTCCCCCATTTCATCGCTGCCATTATCCCCCGTTAAGGCTATGTGGAGCAGTTCTACTGAGTCTGTGCGCCGGGTCCCCCTTTATTTTATCTCTGAGCTGAAACAGTGACAGTCCTCCCTGTGTTTCAGCCTATAGGCACAGCATTTCTTTGATCTGTGGGGTGGCTCTGCTCCTCATTGGCCATGCAAGAGCCATTTTCTCACGTTCACATTTGACTGATCCTTAATGTAAAAAAAAGCAAACAAAAAAAAACATTGTTTCTTTGTATACCGCATAGTGTCTCTCTGAATAAAAGCAAACTGTAGAGCTCATCCCCTGGCATCTGGGCCAGTGCTTCCTTTTCAAGAAAGGGCTGACAAACGGGCAGGCCGCCTATAAAGCCAGAGCAATGGACGGATGATCTTCTGAAAGGACGGGCCAAAATACTGCCCGCGCTCCCTCACAGCTCTTGATTTTCTGTCATGCACAAGAGACTGGTCATGCAGTGTGACTCGCGGACTGCTGGTGGGCCGCAGAAATGTGGGGAAGATGTAAATCTGTGCTGACAGGTAAATGCATATGACGGATCTTCAGTGCCATTGTTGAACTAATAAACTTAATGGTTCACTGAACATCAAGAACAATTGAAAGACTTCTGAAACTAAACAAGCCAAACCCTCACAGAAAACAGAGTTGCTTAAACAATAGATACATGGACAGATTACTGTTCCTTTAGGACAAATATGAAGTGACAACACACTTAAGAGAAACTGTTGATCACTACTCCTCCAGGACAACCGATGGACACTTGAGCTCTGAATAGTTTGCACGGCTACTGGAACAAGTCATGTCAAGGAAATGGGATGGTTGGCATACCATGAAACCATCTGGAAAAGTGCTGGGCTCTCTGTCTGCTGCACCACCTGGCTAAAAATTCATCAAGCCTTCAAACCGGTTTGAACACCGGGGCTGTACAATTACAACACGAATCCCTCAGCCAGCAGACAAATAAAAACATCTAGGTAGCTGGTGGGAGCCCTGGACTGCAAAGAGTCGTTTGGAAAAGTCCCTGATCCAAATAAAGACATTTGCGAGGCACATGGACGTGCGGGTCCAGTGCTGTCGCTGTCCATGGTTCTGTAAGCTCATTTCATCATGTTGCAACAAAAAGTAGGTTAAGCTGTCGCTCCTCGGTTATGCAGGGATTTGTAAGTTATGCCCGGGCATATTTTTTTGTTTGTGTTGCGCTGTAGCCATTGTGGTTTGCTGTCGCATGTTCGCAGTGAATTACGCTGAGGGAAAGAGGTTTTGGATTTCACTGGGCGGCAGCTGCAATTCGGGGCTTAAAATGTCTCAACATTCAACACAAGCATTCCTGTGCTGCCTTGTTTATTGATATTCTAATGAAAAGCCCACGGCACAGCATCTTCTTCTTATGCATAAAGACGGGTCTATGACTGATGACCAGGGATAATAATTCACATTTAATCAAAGAGCCTTATCAGGGATGAAGACAAAAACCGGACTCGGACTGACCCAAACAGCACCCCCACCTCTTCCTCTTCTGGCTGTGTCTCCTTCTTTCTTCAAACAGTTGAAAAACTTAACGTTAAACACATATTTTAGGGGTAAAAACCACTCATCTAAATTCAGAACCTACAGTGCTGTCACACAAAAGAAATAAGTTTCAACAAATGTTGTGTGAGGCCAAAATTCCTGCATGTGTAACCGGTGTCTGGTTTGTTTTCATCTAGTGATTGCAAAATAAGGAAGGGGGATATGTCCTGTGATGCATTGGTCTTCTGTTGGGTTCTGTCCGGCCAGACCGTTATGTTTTTGTGATTTCGAACTTATTGCATTTTTGCCAGGTTTTCCAAATATTTAGGTAATTGAACCCAATGTGTTGACAATTTAGGTTGAAATCCCTGTCTCCTACCAGGTACGAATCACAAATACACTTTGGAAGAAGCTTCGAGCAAACCATGAACTCTGCAGTTGAAAGTTATTTTTTGCTATTATAAACTACATTTGATTCCTCTGATCACTTGAACTGATTTGTAACTTTCTGTGTTTCCTGGGAGCTCTGAGCTGCCTGTAGAGGGCATTGAGCTGCGGTATCAAACAGAGAAAACTGGATGGATATTGTGGCATGAGGGCTGAAGGGCTTCCAGAAAACAGAGACCATATTGCTGTCTGCCCATAGAGGTCACTATATACAAGTTAACCTGTTGGACCTGCATTCTCCCTCTTTACATAGTTTTATAGCTCAGTGGTTCAGGCTTAATAATCGGTCACTCATTCATTAATTACTTAATTAATTCATTCATTTAGTGATCTTAGCTGATAAAAAGTCTAATTTTTGGCTTTCAGTAGTAGCCAAGGCAGAACACAGTTATGACTCATCCTGGGAGCCGTTCATTTCTTTTTATAGACTTGAAACCATTGTCAATATAAAATGATACAGTCAATTTTGTGATTTTGTGAAATGAAGCATCCTTATATAGTCCTCCACTTTACTTGGAACAACTTTATTAATCTTTCAGGAGTAAGTTTTTAATGCTCCATTGATTTTTCTATTGTTAATCCATCCATGTTCAATACTGCTAATTCCCAGTGTCGCAGGGGGTTGGACCCCATACCAACTGTCTGATTGTTAACCCTTTGAGTGGTGTTTAGTTTAAATTGTCATTTTCATCTCACAGCACATGTTTTTCAAAAGGATTAACAACATATCTTAACAGCACCTGAAAAATCTTTTTTTTCTTTTACATCTATAAAAATAATACGATCCTCCGCAATTCCCTGCAAACTGAGGCTGTCCTGAAAGAATTCCTTTGTGTTTCCCTGTCAGATTGATTTGAACCCATATGATTCCCATTAAAAAAGTTCTTATCCAGACTCATCCTCCACTCAGATTGTATTGCAGATGAATGTCATTTTTCAACTGGATGTGATTACGACAGCACATAGAAAAAGATTCCGGAGACAAATGCTTTTTAAATAAGATGTGCAGATTTCGGACACAGGCCTCAATAGGGCAGAAAACTCTCTGAAGTCCTGCATTCCTGTGGAGTAGTCCAGTATTCATGACAAACCCCAACAAGGTGTTATATTTTGTATGACACAGTTTCTGCTTTTAAGAGGGCAAGCCTTGTTTATCAACCCAGCTTTTGGTCGGGGTTTCAAAAAAAAAAAAAAAAGCCTAAAAGTCTCAGGCGGACTCGCTTCCCAGGACCCCCTTGGGAGGAGCCTTTGTCCAGGCCAGGAAGCCTCCCCTGCCTGCAGGTATAGAATGACAAGGCTTTATATGCTGCTACCTATAGATAGGAATTAGGCAAAGCAAAAACCTTCAAGATCCAAATGTGTGCTGCAAGAGAGGCCGTTTGAATTGATCGCTGCTGTAGGTTCGGCTTAACTCTGTTTACAGCACCAAGTGAATGGATAAACAGATTAACTGTATCAGATAATTTCACATGTGAAGAGAGATTGAGAGACATTAATCCAATCCTTCTTCTTTCTGCCTACAAAGCCTGCACACACAGAACTACAGCTATTAGCCTGGTGCGAACCCAATTTTTCCCACCATAACAACAATACCTGTCGACTTCAGATTTGCTCAGCAGGTTTCTCTGTACAAAAATCTTCAATTTGAGGATTAACAGTGTGGCAGATAAGACAAATTCTGTCATTCAGACTATGCAGCTGCCGTTAAGGGTAGTGAGCTGACTGTGTGGAGTTAATTCCAATAAGTGTATGGTCTTAGTTTTGGAAGTGGAAGCATGAAAAAAGATTTATCTGCTCATCAATAAAGAAGGGTGGCACCAAACCTACTACAGCTTGTTCTGGATTCTCAAAAGACGACTGAAAAATGAATTCTTACATTTAGCGTTATGTTAGATTTCAACCAACAAAGGTTCATCTTTGTCCTTGTATCGAAGCTTATCTGTGAAAACTGAGGCAAACAGATCAGAGAACAATTAGAGAATTCACCCGTTTTCTTCTTTGGGTCAGTACCATAGTGTTTATGTTCGAATTCAGAAAAAAAAACAGCAACATTGGTAAAAATGCAGAAATAGCCCTATCAATAACTTACAACTCAGGCACCAAATAAATATTCATATCATTAGTAAAATATACAAAGTACTTCTTTCAGTTTACAGACAGTAGATTATCACATTGTGAGACAGTTTCCTTTCTTACACTGAGTTCCTTTTTGCTTCTTAATGTGGATTGGGTTTTTTAAAAAAGTGCTTCGCTGTGTAAAGTCCTCTCTTCGGTCTCCATTATGGTTGATAGCACTTCAGAGTAAAAAAGATCTGTTGTGAATCCGCTCAGCTTCTGACAAGTGAAAAACTCTAACTCTGTTGTACATCCCAACAGTATTTACAAAAGCACAACCGCCCTCCAAAGGCATCTGCTCAGTGTGCAGCAACAGCAAAGGGATTGCTTTATAAAATAGAATCTTGTTTTGTACAAAATACGATGAATATTTAAGGCTACTTTAATAGACGTGTTAATAAGACAGTAGCATTTGAAGAAATGAGACATGAGTTAATTGAGGATTATACAGCAGTGAAGTATATGAGAGTCAAAGTCTCCTGGACTTAGCAGACATCATATAGGTCTGTGTCCAACCAGTTTGGGAGGTGTCTGAGTCTTCCTTTGCCTGAATAAAATTTTCTCTGTGCATAAAAAAAAAAAAGCAAAAAAAAAAACATGATTTCCACTAATCCGAGCAGGATCTGAACCATTTTCCCACATCCTCCTCCATTGCAGTCAAGCGATATGTGCCAACATCAAGGGTCCGGTTTTCAGAGCGCGACATTAGATCTCCCATCTAAAAGTCTGCCGAGTCCTCCGTCCGCCGGCCCTTTCTGGCCCGGTGTCGGCGCCGCCGGCGCTCTCCGTGCCGGCCATGGTGCTGCGCGCCCTGACTCCTCACCATCTCGTGGTCCTTGTTGCCCAGCACGCGGGGCAGGAAGAGCGAAGCCTTGTCGGTGCTCCGGGTCTTGAAGCCCCGCCGCGGCCGTCCCTTGCCGTTGATGGAGACGTACCACAGCCTCTTGGCGCTGGCCCGCCGCCTGCTGCTGCTGCTGCTTCCCCCCGAGGACGGAGGCTGCTCTGTGGAGTGGTGGCGGGAGGCGTAGGTGTTGTACCCCAACTCGTGGATGCGCTCCACAAATTCGCACTCTCTGTTGAACACTTCCTGGGGAAGAGAGAGAAGCAAAAGAAGGGTCAGCCTATTGTATGTTGGACACAAGTATCCACAACTGCCCTCCACTCTCAGTCTCAAAAACCAGAGGTTAAAACTCTGTGACTTCAAAGTAGTGTTTCCAGCTTGTCACATTTAAGGCCTGTGGCTTGTTGTTGCACAGGGCCTGTAGGTTTTGCTTAATAGATGAGATGAATGTGTACTGACCGAGGCGTAGAGCCTTCCTTTATCATTCATAGCCAGGTATCGGCCAGAGAAGAGACCTTTTATAGCCACAACACCGACGTCCACCGCTGTGATTTCCATGATGCCTGCAATGTAAAAAACAAACAAACACATTTTAATTTAATAAAACTCATTGGCAGAAATCAGTAACACTTAATGTAAGATGTAGGATGAAAGACACTGTCAATTCATAAAGGTATTTAACAAATACAGAAATGGTTACAAATGAATAAATGAATATCCATCTGTTGTTAATTAACGTTTATGGTTCATTTGCTCTCATCATGGCCGTTACTTTTCATCCCATTTATCATGTTTATTTAGCTTTTTTAATCAGTGCTTGATTAGTCAATGGTCTATTCAGTGCTGTAGAAAAGCTCTAATTGTAGCTGTTAGATAAATACATCCGCTAAGACAGCGCCTTTGTCCCTCCTGGATGTAAATACTTTGGCTGATACTCAGAGATTAACCTGCGTGTCGACAGCTCCGCACTGACAAGATCCCCCCCCCCACACCGTCCGCGGATGCCGCACTGAGCGGGTCAAGTGACAACAAATCTGATTGATTCTGACGGATTCATGGAGCGGGATTAATCACATCACGCAAATTCAAAGTGAGGAAAAGTCAAAGGCTCGGCTTCCACAAAAAAACTAAGATTTTAGACATACGTTTCAGTGGTGCGTTCAGATCAAACTATCGTCTCGTTTTACGCGCAACCAGGTAACGGATCAAAAGCCTTCTCCGCATTTAGTTGCTGTTAAAAATCAATGTGTGTTATGCTTGTAATTGTGTGCACACGTGTGGGCAGAGTCAAATCTCTCTTGGTAAAGTCACGTCTGCAGTTCCACTCAAAAAAGGGTTGAAATACTCACTGAAGGGGTTGTTTTCCTCCAGCGATCCGTCTATTTTCCCATTCGGGTGAATCTGTAAGTGGTATTTCGTGGCGCAGTAAAGTTTTCTGCGCCTCGGCGCTCCGCCGAGGTGCTCGTACACTCCTCCGCGGCCCCCGGCGTCCCTCCGCGGCCGGGGGTCGCAAACGTGGCCGGGCGCGCAGCGGCTCCGGGGCCAAACGGGTTCCAACAGGCTCGCCAACACCAGCAGAGGTATCATCAGCATCGTGGCATGGCCGGGGAATGACAACCGTGGCGAAAAACGGGAGAACTCTTGTCCGACTCTCCGGGTCCCATGAACGTTGTCGGGGCCCCCTAACGCAGGAGAGCTCCAGCCCTTGAATACATCCGGAGCCCAAACGGGGCAACTCTGACAGCGCGGCCGCCTCCGAGTTTTGGATCCTCTTCGCCCTCTGTTGCTGGAAAGCCCTCCTGTGGAGCTGACTGAGAGCCTCTGCTCAGACTGAGCGCAGATATAAAAGAAGCTTGTGGCGACAATAGGCTGAACTTCGACCAATTGATACAAAGGAAAGGGGGAGGCAAAAAGGTATCAGCCCTGTGTGAAGTGAGAGACAGCGGCATGGATAAAATTACATAGTGGCTGAGCGCGGAACGGCTCTCTCCTCTGAACCCCTCTTCTGGAATATCCTAAAAGAGCAATTAGACATCCCAAATTATACAGGCGGCCAGAGCCTGCACCAGCCACCGCAGTAGGTGAAGAAGGCTGATGCGGGAACCTGCCTTCATCCTTAATTAAAAATACCCCAAAATCAGAGCTGTACTTTGGCTCCTACATAAGCATATACCTTTACTCGTTTTTGTTACATCCCAAAAATCTGAACGCCCCCCCAGGGCAATATTTCAACTTCTAGATGTCTGATTTCTCAGACATTTGGAGGAGGGTTGCACACCTGTACCTCATGCGGCCCACAATATACAGACTCTCAGACAGGACATTTGAATATTTAACAGTCAGTCACACAGCATAAAACCACCAGGACAGGCTGATCAATGCGGTGTAGTGTGTAATTTGTCTGTCTTGAGAGATCCTGATGCAGATATCTACAAAGACCCTCCAGAGGTGCAGGGGCACATTTTTTGGGTGCTTAGAATCAAGCCAGGCTCTGCTTTTAGCATGCAAAAGTTTGTAATCTCATTTGCTCTTTAAGTATGCAGAAGCTCCTCCTGAACTGTTAGCTTGTCCTGCCAACGCCAAGTACTGTTTCTGTTGGAGTAGAACAATTTAAAGCGGTGTCACATGGTTTCCTCCACGTAGCTGACTCCTCACACCACTGAACCTCTTTAGCGAGCATTATTCTTTATCCTTCACCGACGGATTGTCCCAGACTTTTTTCCGTCCTAATGCTTCAGCTCCGGCTAGGCAGCAGCCGGTGGGCGGAAGAGCAGCAGGCTAAATGACTACTGCCTAAATTGCTTCCATCTTGGTCACATTATGGTTTGCATTCTGGTAATTAGCACCATCATCTACAAATCTCTCTGCCCCTTGGCACTGCTCCACTGCTGTTATGGAGGCCTCTGCTGAGAATCCCCCAGAGAGTAGATGGTTAATTTGTCTTCCCCTCCCATACATCACCCAGCTAGCTGCCTCTGTCACTTTATTTACTCCGATGATCAGAAAAAGGCAGCACTTTTAATTACAAATGAGCCTTATGCCTCCAATACCCCTCACAAGTCAGACAACATACCAAAACACCAGCCAGGCCGTGTGTATCAGAGGTTGTTCTGGTGGCCGTTTCTAAGTGAGATGCTCTTGATGTGGTTAAATGTTGGAAGAGGGAGGAACCTCAGATGTGGTGTGCTGTTTCTTTCAGAAACTATTTTAATTATGCTTCCCTCCACGCCGCCCACAAAGCATCCCAGCAATACGCCGGGAAAATGCTCTCCGTTTAGTGCACACTCACATGCACATCGTCTACTTCACATCAGGGGTTGTGTGTTTCTACGTTAGAAAATGAAGGTATTGTAGCATTAAACAGAAGTTAAAGTGACTCACATCTTGTATCCAGGTGTAACGAACTGGTTTGAGTCCCTCACTTTGACAAACGCTATTAGAAAGCAACACACCATTATTCATCCAGTCTTTTCTTAATGAGTTCTTTTTTAAAAAGATATTTGCACAAGAAACATCACTTGGCTGATTCATAGTAATGTGGCCAATGACTTTAATGCGTCTAAAGTGCAGGAACATACTAGAGGGGAAATGTAAAAGCCTGACAGGCAGGAAGTAAGCATACGATATGCAGACCTGCTCTGAAAGCGCCGGCAGTTCTGCCCTCAAAGCTAGGGAAACCCGAAGCTTACAAAGGTCAAACCTGAATGCCACTGACCCAATCAGTGTCCTTAATTGGCGGCAGCACGATTGTCTATTGATTAAGGAATTTTTTCAGAAAAAAAAGAAGTTATGTAGCACTTGGAGAACAGGATTAGGCTAATGACTCTCCATGTCTCTGTGTGGAATTATTTGTTGCCTTCCTTCATAAATCGGCACACAAACTTTCATGGGAAAACATGCTCTTACCTAATTATACCCTTAGTCATCTGATGGGAATAAATCTTTAATTAGTCTACCTGCCTCCTGCAGAACTCATTTGACACACATCTTCATCAAACATGTTGGATTTTAAATCTGTAGCAATATTACAAAACCCCTTTTCTGCATTTCCATTTTCTTCCTTTTTTTATTTTGACCAAATTAAACTCTTTGAAGACTCCTGGTGTACTAACATCTCAGCTCAGAAGAGAGGCTAAGGTAAGGACCCCGGCTGAAAATCCCGAGAATAAAAATGGATTTCACAAATGAGTCTTTGTTTTGGATTTCTGCCCACTCTTTAAAGATGGGAATTTTAGAGGTAGCCACAGGAAAAAAAAAAGATTGTACTCAGCTGGAGAGCAGGAGAGGAGGGCTGGGGCAGCTGTTTGATGCCCCAGCCTTGTACAGACTTCACAACCTTCCCTGAATTGTTTGGCATAGACAAATCAACTGTGTTTGGGGGCTTTGTCCCTCTAAATTCACAATACAAAGTTGACTAATTGGCCCTTCAATGTGGCTGGGGAGCCATTCGACTTCACATTACACTGTGTGCTCGCATTCCTGACCGCCTCCCAATGTGACTGGAGAGATCAGACCCCAGCAGTCCTCAGTGCATTTTGGGCGCATTCGCACCTGTGCTCAGAAGAAACAAGACAATGAGCTGGGCTTTCGCTCGGCCAGGTCGGGATTATTCCAACAACTGAAACATTTACAGCCATTCCTTCACAAACGAAGCACAGCCCAGTCCGGCCCGATGAAGTGCCCTGACACAAAACCAAAAGGCATATATTTTAACTTTCCCCTTTTATCTCCACTTGCCAAGAATGAAAGCAAGGATTTCCAGGCTCCTTTTTTAATTGACCTCCCCAAAATCCCTCCCCCCCAACACCACCACCACCACCACCACCCAAAAAACCCTCTTGGCACAAAAGGGTTTCTTTTCTGCAATAATACAAAGGTTATTAGCCAGGTCCTTTTCTTAGCCCCCCCCTTTTAATGGGGGGAAAAGGAGGTACCAGTAATCCAGAGCAAATCAAAATGACCTTTGAACCCTTTCTGCTGTACTTTTTCTCATGGGCAGAGTTCTTTGGTGAAGCGGTGATCAGAGAGCTGAATCCAGCCGCTGCCTCTCGTCTCCTGACAAATCGCTGCTGAGCCTCTTTTGTCCCCACGACTTTGATCTCACCTGCTTGTCAGGCGCTTCAGAAAGAAGTCTAGTACAGTTCCAAGCACACAGCAAACAAATTGGCAACTATTTTCCTCTGCTTCTCTCTTTCTCCCCCTTTTCTATTTCAACTCATTCTGGGACTATTTCCAAAATGAATGTAATGGTTAGCCAGAAGCTTTTCATTTTAATCTGTTTTATACAAATAGCCCGTTATGAATGATAGTTTCTGACACATGTGAAAACAGAATAAGGCCAACAAATAAATAGCAACTGAGTAAAAAGATGATCAGGTAGATTGCTGTTTCAATGTGAAACTAACTTTTCACAAGGGTGAAAATGCAGTTTGACACAAATGAAAAGTCAAAATATCAAAATTGTGCTGTTTTAAAAAAAAAAGGACGAAACAGATTGAGGCCTGCGGCATTTTACTATTTATTGATGGACGCGAGTAATTATTTTTTCCATCCAAAAAACAACTTGAGGAAAAATTGGAACTCAAGTGAGCAAAAGGAGTTAAAACTGTCCACTTCTTAACCTAAGTCGTGTTGCCATTTCCTTTTTAGAGATAAGAGGCTTTCTCCTGCAGCCTTCTCAAGCAAGCCACATTTGTTCAGTCTTTTTCTAATTGTGCTGTCAGGACCTTTAACCTTTGACATGCAAACTAAAGTTTGAGAAGTAGCTCTTGGGCTGTTGACCTTGGGGAGACCTTGACAGGACGTCCACTCCTGGGAAGACTGACAGCTGTCCTGAATGTTTTCCACTTGTGAAAAATCTTTGCATCTGCAGCCTGAGTCCATCCACAAGCTGAATCTCCAAAGGCTGTCATTAAGGCTCTTCTAAAGAAGAGCAGTCTGGATGCCACAGTAGTGAACCACTACTGGCCCATATCGAAGCTGCCACTCTTAGGAAAAGTCCTGGAAAAAGTTGTATATTAACAGCTGACTGACTTTCTCCCGAGTAACAATGTGTTTTATGCTTTTCAGTCAGGCTTTAGGCCCCACCGAGACAGCTCTGATCAAGGAAATAAACGATATTCATCTGAACCCTGAAGTAGACAAAGTCTTGGTCTTAGTTCTGCCGGACCTGACACAGGTGGACCATGTGATTCTGTTACAGAAATTAGAGGACTGTGTGGGAAACTCTGGTACAGGTTTAAAGTCCTACCTCAAGGATAGGAGGTACTTTGTTCAAATTGGCAAACTGTGTCTCAGACCGAATGGTTCTGACCTGTGGGGTTCCCCAGGGGTCAATCCTGGGACCCCTTTTGTTCAATCTGTACATTTTTTTATTTGGCCAGCAAATACGCAGCCATAATGTGTCCAACCACAGCTATGCACATGACACTCAGATCTATGAGTCGCTGACAGCAGGAGAACCCGGGCCAGTAGAGTTATTGTGTTGCTGTGTTGAACAGATCAGTGTGTGGATGCAGAACAACTTTCTCTTGTAAACCCAGAAAAAACTGAATTCATTGTCTGTGGCCCACAGAAACAAAGAGAAAGTGTCCTCAGTCATGTTTGGACTCTCTCTGGATCTTAAAAACCTGGTTGAAAATCTTGGGGTAATACTGGACTCAGACCTGAATGTTAACAGCCACATTAAAGCAGTAACATCAGAAGCTTTTTACCATCTGAAAACATCCAGAATTAGAGGAATAGAGTCTAAACCAGACCTGGAAAGACTAATACCTGAATTAGTCTCCAGCAGGTTATACTGCTGTAACAGCTGCTCACTGGGCTTTAAACCAGCTGTGATCCAGCTGCAGAACATCCAGAATGCTGCTGCTCCAGTTCTGACC